CTATGTATCCTTGCAAAATATTATAGATTGTTTTATATATGTCTTTGTTTTTTGACTTTTTAAGTTTGAAATGTTTTCAAAGTTATGAAGAAAATGATATAGTAGAAAGAGTTCCCATATGTCCTTGAGTCATATTTTTTAATTGTTAATATTTTGCAGCATTTCTTTCTCTTTTTGTATATGTATGTGTATTTTTTTCTGTACTATTTGAAAATAAGTTGAAGACATGTCCTCTATCGCTAAATATTTCAGTATCTTTCCTAAGAAGAAAAAACAATCTCTTATATAACCACAGTATGATTATCAAGTTACTCTAACATTGATACACTATTATTATCTGATATGTATTTCATATTCAAATTTCCTCAATTGTCTCAGCAGTGTCTTTTTTAACTTTTCCCTCCTCCAATCACGTTTCTGTTGCATTTGCTCATGTCTCTTCAGTCTAACTCTCTGGAACAGTTCCTTGACCTTGCTTTGTTATTTGATAATATGTATGTAATTTTTGTTTGTATGATATACTGCTATAGACCTTGTTCCTTTTCTCAATTTTTCAGTGTTTCTAAGACCCACCTATATTTATGTATAGACGTCTATCTTGTTTGTTATTTCCAACTTCTGCCTAGTTTTCCATAGTATGCACCTGCCAAAGTTTACTTATCTATTCCCCAGTGACAAACACCTATATTGTCTTCAACTCCTTGCTATCGTAAATAATTCTGTCACTGACATCCTCATACATGTTCCTTTGAGGAATATTTCTGGAATATCTCTCCAAGAATAGAATTGCTGGGTCATAATGTTTTTTCTATTTAATCAAAGTACTGCTGAATTGCCCTATGGAACAGCTGCCTGACCACACTTTAACTGTTGTATACAAAGATCTCAGTTTCTCTATACCACTGCCAATATTTAGTCCTAGGTAACGTTCTCATTTTTGCTAATATGATGGTTTAAAGTTTGCTCTCATTTATTTTCTCTAATCACTAGTGAGTTTCATTTCTTTTGCCAAGCGCCTCACTGATAGAGTTTCCTCAGGAAGGAACTTTTCTGTAATACACACACCGCAGTCGTGCACACACACACACACACACACTCCAGCCTAGTCAATGTACTAGAGGGATATTTTGAAGCTGATCTCATGAATGGCAGTTGTAAAGTCCCATTTCACTTTGTGTCGCTGTCAGTAAACCAGTTGATATTAGTCATATCATTTCTCAGATTTCTTACATTTTAAATATAATTTGTAAAAGTATACATTCTCCTAGACAACTGAAACCAAGATCCTTAAGACAGCTGTCTGCACCTGACCCTTAAACTATGAATATTGTGTAGAAATAGAATTTAAGATTTACTTTTTCAGATACTTGAATTCATCAATTTTCAAATCTTTTACCTTATTTGCTTCTGAATTTTTGTTTATTTATTTATTTTTGAATTTTTAAAAACTATATATCCTATTGATTATTTTTCAGTTGGTGTCCAAAATTTGTTATGTCTAACTAATTGCAAAAGATAGAATTTCTAGAGTAATGCAAAAATTACTATGTAAAAAGTAAAAATCTCCTTAAATATACCTGATTGAATCTAAATGCCATAGCTATTTGATAACTATCATTATGCATTTTAAAAATACACTAATAGGTTCTTCTGGTTTTTGTTTCTTATTTTTACAATGTTGTGTTGGTTTCTATCATATAGCTATAGTTATAGTTGTACATACATCCCCTCGCTCCATCGCATCCCTCCAGGTCATCACGGAGCACAGGACTGGGCTCCCTGTGCTACACAACAACTTCTCACCAGCTGTCCATCTTACGCCTGATAGTGCATACATGCTGATGCCACTTTCTCCATCCCTCTCACACTCCCTGTCCCGACTGTGTCCGCAAGTCCATTCTCTACATCTGTGTCTCCATTCCTTCCCTGCAAGTAGGTTCAAAAGTGCCATTTTCTAGGCATTAATATACTATATATGTTTTTCTCTTTCTGACTTACTTTATTTAACAGGCTCTAGGTTCATCCACTTCACTAGAACTTACTCATTCTTTTTTATGGCTAAGAAATAGTCTATTGTGTATGTGAACCACAGCTTCTTTATCCATTTGGTTCTTCTTTTATAGTCAGATTTACATCTTTTTTTCCCCTTCTTTAGCTCAGTGTTTCTGCTGCTCCTTTCCCTCCGAGAATATCATTCCTAATGCATATTTTAATATTTCTTAATATTTTTTAAAAACATGTTTTTATGTTTAAAAGTATTTCAATTATGTAAAATATCTACAACAAAAAATTTAAGTTACAAGTACATTTTAAAAATTTCCTGTGATCATAAAAAATCTTTTTCCTAGATTATATGTTCATTGCATTACAATTATTAACAATTGATTAGAAGAATATATGCATATTATGAATTTTAATAAATAGTTAAATATAAAAGTAAAGTTTATGTTAGAAAATATATCTTTACTAGACTTGATTTTAGCCAAAAGACCAAGAAGCAATAGAAGATCTATCTTTAAATGTATAGATTCAATTATTGTATTTACCTCTGTACTGTTAGAATAAGACAGGATTTCAGCACCAATTCAGTTTCTTTGTTTTTTTTCTATAGATGTGAATGTTGAGAAAATTGGATCACATAAGTAGTTGAGATGGAGAGATTTTATTATAGAAATATCACTCAATTCTTTAAACTTCTTTTGAATCATTTGTTAAAACATAACCTTGGGGATCTATCAAAATTTTTAACAACCCATCAGCTGTTAACTTGATTATATCATCCTATAAACTTGATGAAACCAAGAAACTACATATGTTAATCACTGAAATCACTCTTCTTCTTAGTGCTGACACTGTTTCTAATTGTCTCTTTCCTTGACACCCATGTTTTTATACCCTGAGGCAATGAATACAAAATTATGGATGAGTGAAAGGTAAATTTTTCTGTTGTAAGGTGGGAGAAATATGATTTCAAAAGAAACTTTACTTTCTTTTTTTTTTTTTTCCATTTATTTTTATTAGTTGGAGGCTAATTACTTTACATCATTACAGTAGTTTTTGTTATACATTGAAATGAATTAGCCATGTATTTACATGTATTCCCCATCCCAGTCCCCCCTCCCATCTCCCTCTCCACCCGATCCCTCTGGGTCTTCCCAGTGCACCAGGCCCGAGCACTTGTCTCATGTACCCAACCTGGGCTGGTTATCTGTTTCACCCTAGATAATATACATGGAAACTTTACTTTCATAGAAAAGAGTAAATAAGAAATTATGGAATCTTTAAAAAATGATTTTCTTAAGCCATTTCTATGCCTGCATACACCTATCTTAACATAAGTCAGGGATTTGTATGAGACTGCTGCTAAACAGAAATGATATTTTTAAAGCTGTCATTATTCCAAAAAAATCACAGTAGCATCAACCTTTGTGAGAAATATAGACTTAAGTTTATTTAATTATAAATTTACAGTAGGGAACTTTTTAATGTAAATCTATAGCTGTAAATTTATATATGTTTTGACAAAATGTATATCTAATTCAACAAACAGTGTACTCCATCATTATGTTCCTGGAAGAGGTTGACTTGAGTGTGTTGATGTCAAACCCAAGACTAGGTATTGATATTCTTGGAAGGTTATTTGGTGGTTTCATTTAGGGCTCTCATATAATTCTCTTCTTTTGCTTATGTTAGTCCCTACACCTGAATAATTAGTTCCTCCTCCCTCTCCCCACCATATCTGTCTTAGTGATAGCTCTTTTATATTATATTTGTGAATTCACCTTCCCATACATGTCTCAAATCCAATCCCTCTTCTCTATCCCGTGCCCTCATTCAGATCTACATCATTTCTCAACTGGTTATCATCTTTTATCTGTGCTCCCTGGCTCTATTCTCTTTCCACTCCATTGTCTCCACCACAGAATTACTATAATAATTTTTCTAAAATTTGGATCAATTCCATATTATCCTGCTTAGAAATCTTCAGTTGCTCTTACTGACAAATCTTTAAAGTCTGTGCACTTCCAAAAGTGTTGATACTTTCTTACATTTATTAGCTTGAGACTATCTGTTCTCAATTACTTTTCCAAATTTTTCTCCAGCAACTATTCTTATCTGTTTTTTACTTGTGTCACACAAATTACTTATTTCCTTGAACAGATATAATGGTGCACTTACTAGAATGTCACAGTGGACAGAACCAGGATATTTTTTAGTGATTTTACCTGAACTTCTGGCTACTTGTGATGAAAGACTTAAATTTATTCATATGCAGTGATCCTTTACAGAAAAATTTTATGATTTATCATTGAGATATGTTTTTAGATCACATTGATAGCACTCAGCATGGCTATTGGACACAGGAAAAAATAACAAAGAAAAGCTTTAAAAAACCAGAGAGGCCATGTTAAAGCAAAGACTATATTCATAATCCTTAAATGTATCAAGATTTTTCAAAAGGTGATTTGAAAGCACATACACACACAAACATAAATTACATAATGCATTGAATTCTCCTTTATACATATTAATGAGAAGAGTTTTTTATGTTTGGCCTATAATGTAGAAGTCTATGGATCATAACTATCTTTTCATAATTCCATTTTGGATTCAGCATTGTGAAGTAGCTTGAACTCTAGAGAGCAGGTTTTAGATAGGTTCTACTAACAATTTCAACACTTAGTAACTATGATTTTTATGGGTCAATTATATATCCCCTGTTTGTTCAAGGAGAGACTGTATCATATGAGATAACATTTGAGAGTATATTATAAATTTAAACAGATTTAGAAGCACATTATATCATTGAATTATTCCTTAATCTCTTTACACTAATCCTATATTTCCTTAGAGAATCTAGTCTATCTTGATAGAAGCCATATGTTGATAGGGCTAATAAATGATCCAATAAGGAAATAAAACATATTGAGGGTTTGTTTTATTTATTTTTTTCTTATTTTTTCTTTTATGTTTCTTATGTTTCTTCCTCGTCAAAACAGTTTTGGTATGAACCATGATGGAATTGGAAATTCTTGTGGGACAAAAGGTCATGAAGCAGCAAAACTTATGGCAGCTCACATTACTGCAAATACCAATCCCTTTTCCTGGTCTGCCTGCAGTCGAGACTATATCACCAGCTTTCTAGAGTAAGTAGTCTCTGGAGAGTGATGATGAATTGCTCCAGAAGTAAGCCATTGATGGAAGCCTCATACGTAGCGCTTCAAACTTTGCATAATGAGTAACTTTTATAGGTCCCAGTGATAATTCAGACTGTTCCCCCAAATACTTTAACATATCATTGTGGTGAATTTTTGATTTTTTATTCGTACTCAAATAGAACACAGACTAAATTAGGGGGACACAAACAGATTAAAGAACTGGAGTAAGACTGTAAAAGGGGTTGATGATGTGAGTTAGAAATGTTAAATAAATGGGAAGGAATGTCAGAAAGAATTTAGATTTACATAATTTAGTAATGCATAAGCCAAGCCTTAATTCAGTGATTAGATATTTCATTTTGTTGGTTAAAAAAATAACTGAGTTCTGTCGAAATGCCAAAGTATCTAATAGTAACAAACAACAACAACAAAAAACCAAACACCCAGGAAATGAAAATAAGAAAGTGAAAATTTGTCTTTGAAAATATATTAAATTGACTCCTTTTTCTCCAGTTTGAGAACTTCTTTGCTGGTCCTTTAACGTATATTCTAAGTGTCCGGTTATTTAAATTTGAAGACTATAAATTAGCTCAGGTGTAACTATGTTTAGGAAAGCAGATGTTTTTCCATATTTCACCTGCATAGAACTTTAATAAGATTAGCCTTTGGAAATTGTTAGACTTAGGGCTCACTCTCTAACAGTGTGACCTTGGTCATGTTTGTTACTTAAACTTTCTAATATTCAGTGACTTCATTTGTTGAATAAATTTAGGTAATGATACATATATCGTCAAGTTGTCATGTAAATAATTATGTATAACACTATAATGAGTATATTTATAATATAATATAATATACTAAGTTATATTTATAGTTTATATAAGTATATAAAACACTTAATAGACATTCATTATGTGGTATATTAAATAATATCAAGGTTTTAAGCACTGTTGTTCTATCATTACCTTCAACTGTTTTCTGCCATTTTTTTCTGAGGAGGAGAGATTAAGTATTCTGAAAAAGCTGGTCATACACAAAGTACAGGAGAGCAACAGAAATCCTTTTTAAAACCTATCTTTGTTTAAAGTTCACTTTAACATGATTATAGTGTAACGTTTTAGAAATTGAGAGGGAGACCTGGGTTTGATCCCTGGGCCGGGAAGATCACCTAGGGAAGGGAATGGCTATCTACTCCAGTATTCTTGCCTGGAAAATTCCATGGACAGAGGAGCCTGGCAAGCTATAGTCCATGGGTTGCAAAGAGTTGGATACAACTGAGCAACCAACATTTTCTGTCTAACACTATGTAGGGTAACATTACTTATTAAGATTTTGGTTCATATCTGCTAAGAACCAAATTATATTCTTAAAACTTATAATTGCATATTTTTAAAAGCCCCAGACAAGAGATTTTATTAATAAATTACTGAGAGAAATGCTTTGCTCAATCAAAGATCAAAAGACAAGTGTTTAAAATGGGCTCTTTTGAATTAATGTGATAATGAAATTGAAAGAATTGGAAGTATTTTTAGAAGGTAGCTCTTCTGAATAGCTATACTATAACCTAACAATTTTTAATCTTTGTAATAGATAAATCATAATACTTGCCTTGTGCCAAAACTGGGTGAAGGACCACAGAAAATTTGACATCTTTTTGTAGTTTTTTAATACAAAGCACTAGCAATATCATTTTCTGAGATGTTTTAACAAGATCATATAACCTAAATTTTAAGCACTGTTAAAGATCTACTCTCCCCAGAAATCAAGCCAGATCTGGAATTTCTCCCTTGACTTGGCTCATGTTTTTATAATGGAATCTTAGTGTCTATATCCAGAAAGACAAACTGTATGAATGCTCAGTATTCCTGTGCATTTTTGAAGACTTTCCTCTGCTTGTTATTTTTTTTTTTCTTCCCCAAGTACATCATTTCTCTCTCCTCTGTCTTGTTTCTGTTGTACAGCCCATTTGCTAGGAATATCTCTTTATACTAAATACAAGGACTGGTTTTGATCTCTTGCCAGACCCTGTGTAGTTAAAACTGTGTTAAGGCTGTTAAAACTTTCCAAAAGGGAATCCCTAAATTGCTGATAAAATACAGTTAAGAAATCACTACTGGTTTGGTGAGAGATGTAAAATTATTACTAGTTGCAGTAAATCATTCCACTGAATTAATTGAAAGAATTAATCCAAAAAGCATTATGTAAGCCTTATTGCCTCTTTGCATTTTCTATGTGTAAGCATAATTAGTGTTGACAGGGTTCTAGTGAGTTTATTATCCTGTATTTTATAAGAATATTTCTGTTGCATCTTCACGGGAATGCTCACAAAGTTAAAGCCATTAGTAAAAGATAGATGTGAAAGACAATGGGTAGGAATTTGGGGAGAAGTTGGCATCTTTTCCCCCTCTCTTTAATAGTAAACTAAACAACTCTGATTGTAATCTGACCAAGCAATAAAGGTTTTTTAAACACAAGGCCCTTTAAAAATGTCAGTTCACTGGAGCACAAAGATATAATAGTAACTTTCTTGAACTTCTTTGTTCCTCTTTATTAAAGCAGGGGACTTAATTGCTTTAACAGCTTTGTGTGATATTTATAAAAATCCAGTGATATTTTGATTAGGGATTGAGGTTACATTTATGTTTTATAGTTGGCTCAAAAAGACTCATAACATTTTATTTTAGTTTCTCTTCTCAAGAAAAAGAAATCTTGAAAGATGAATTGTTTAGGAACTGCAGCCCTGCCAACAGAATGCATACTTTTCTCTACTTAGTGACTATATAGGCCAAAGATGATGGTGGATTTTAACAATAAGCTTTCTATGATTTATAGAGATTCACTATTCACTATGTTAAGCAATTCCATGGGCTTTAAATGCCAATAGAGTAAAAAAGTCTCTCGTGTCATTCTGAAACACTAGGTGCTATTGATCAATCAGGAGGTGGTGTTTACCAACTCCCAATATTTTTTTTCAGATTTCTTAAACTCGGTGATTCAATAAGTGGTTCATGAATCGCCCAGAAGCCGTCCTGATTAAATAATAAAGAACCCATTACCGTTAAAATGGACGTGTTATGCCAGCTTCTGATGTTTTCGACGACGGCTTTGCAGGTAGTGTCCTTCCTATCTGCCTGCGGGACTTATTTATTTATTTATTCATTTATTTATTTATTTAGAAACTAGAGAAGATGAACCTGGTATTATGGCTCACATTCATTGATGTCTATGGGCTAATTTACCAGGCAGTAGAAGGCAGCCAGAAGTAATTGAGGCCAGTTTTTCATATATTTTCCACCACTTAGTGGTAGTACAGAGTAATTTCATGTAGTCTTCAAAAATCCTGGGGCCTCTGTGAATCAACTCTTGCTCTATTTAAATTAAAGTCTGTTATATTGTTTGAACTGTCAGAGATCCGTAGCAAAATTTCCTACAGTTCCAAATTAAATATTTTCACAGAAAGGATGGAAGCTGAAAAAAAGAGAAGCAATATTATGGTTGAAGATGAACTAGAAAGAAAGGTAGAGCTGCAAGAGAAGTGATATAAGATGAACAGGACAAGTAAGGCACTTAACAATTCTTCTAGAGCAATTACTTTTGAAGGTCACTATCAATAGTCTATTAGACAGAAACAACTTTTATAGATGGGACCTCTTTTTTATGTGGAGCCAAAAAAGAGCTTAGCAAAACAAATTTCTCCTCCTTCCATATTATCTGACATTTTTGGGGGACTTCACTCTAACCCATAAATATCTTTGATAAGTCATAATTACATATGGAGAAAAAGAGCATAACTTAGTAAACATGATTAGCATAGTGTTTGCATAATGGAAGCCTCTAGTTCAGTTGTGTTCAAGTATCCCAGGCCTATAGAGGGCAAGAGATAAAGGTCTGACTTAGAGTAATTCATTTTAAAGGTAATGTATTGTTAGTTTTCTGAAGATTGGTAGAGCAATTTATGAAAATGTAGTAGGTAAGACACTTGACTTGCCATAGATGAGACACCTAATTCATTTTTGCTTAATTTATGTATGTTAGCACAACTTTATAGAAAAAAGTAGATGTTATATTATCTGTTAACTTTTTGTTGTTGTTGTTAAGAAACTGTTCAGATATAATCAGGGTTATATAGAAAGAATTATTTCTTAGATTGACCCACTGTTATAGGCTGAAGATCTGTACTTTATAGTGTAATTGTTTAACTGAAAAATAAATCTAAAATTGCAGTTATGTTTTCATGTGTTCTGGAAACAAAGCCAAGACACCATATTTTACATAAGAATCTGTACATTTTAATTGAAGACACAAATCTGGCTCATGTTCCTATTTTCAAGGCTAATTTTTGAACTCTGTAAATAAGACTTCTCTAAATTAGAAGTAGAATACGTAAAATATGACTTTGCTATCATTCTGTAAGGATTTCTGGAAATGTAAATATACTTTGATTTACTGAGAGTTTCATAATCAAGGGAAAAGCATGTTCTCAAACTAATACACATTTTTTGCCTTGTCTTAGAAGCATAAACAAGAGTGGAGGGTATTAGTTCAATAATTACCTATATTGCTGTAGATATTAACCAGGATTAGACTTTTAGTTGTGAAATATGTGCTGCTAGGGAACTAATCATAGTTCTGCTTTTATGGAGTATACAGTTTTGCTCAGGACAAGTATATCTTGTCCCGAGCAATAGTAAGTTGTAATAACATCTTATCGGTGGAATGTACAATGTTCTCCATTCCATTTATTAATGAGTGAGGTTTATGTTTTCTGAGTGAAAAAATTCACCTATGACTCTAGGGCACAAGCTCACTATGTTTAAAAGTGACATTTTATGAGAAAATTCAAGAAAATTTATATATAATATTACCACTATTAATTTTAAAATAGCATAAATAGCATTAGGTTCAGTATCATAATTATATGATTATATTGATTAATTGGAGCCTTAGATTAGTAAAAATTACTCATAGCTTCTTTTTGTTAAAAGGAAACAACTATAAAATATATGTAATTAACTCATATCTAATATTTTTAAGAAAATCATTTATACCAGAAGACAGTACAAAATGATTTATATCAGCATAATTTGCAATTTCCAGAAATTAGAAATAATTTAAACACTTGTTAATAGAAGTGACATAGTCTTAAATGGAATATCAAAGGACAATATAAATGAAGAGCTTACAGTTGCACACCTCAACATGGATGTGTCTCACATTCATAGCATTGAGTAGAAGGATAAAGTCATAAAAGAAAACCTACAAAATGACTCATTTTATGTAGAATCCAAGAGCTGTCAGATTAATAAATTGAGAGATGAATAATTACTGAGAAAACCAAAGAGATTATTATTTTAAAAATCAGGCAAAAATAGTTATTTTAAAAATCATTAATTGCATCTTCTTCTCTATAGATTCAGATTTTATACCTTTTATTTATTTGGAGAATGAAAATGTAATATGTGGACATTAGAAATTTGAATTACACAGAAAAAATCATTAATTCCTTGGGAGACAAAGAGAGTTGTGATTGAGCACTTAAATTTTCTAAGGGGAACAAAACCAAAGAAAACACATCTTAGAGTTAAATGTACATCTCTCGGGTTTATGTCCTCTATCTTCTTTCTATACCTATATCTGTGATATTTCATAATGGCAGTTGATGGCACAGAGGCATGAAAATATCCAGAATTATTATCTTCTAAGGGCTTCCCTGGTGGCTCGGGGCTAAAGAATTTGCCTGCCCAATGCAAGAGATGCGGGCACAATCCCTGCGAAAGATCCCTGGAAGAAGGAAATGGCAACCCACTCTAGTATTCTTGCCTGTGAAATCCAATGGACAGAGCAGTCTGGCAGGCTGCAGGGTCTCTTAAGGGTCAGACACAGCTTGAGCCACTAAAGAGTTAATTAATACTTACTGTTTATAGGTTTAACTTACTTGAAAATAACCAAAAAGTAACAGACAGATTTTAGTAACATCATGCAAAAACTGTTTTTGTAGCTTAACCCTCAGTTAAGAATTGAAGTATGAAGACTATCTTACCCCTCAAATACTTCAGTCAAGGTTTTACTGTATGTAATATTTATCATTACTAGAAGGAAAATATGTAGGTACATTTTCTACCCAAAATGTAGAAACAGTTTAAATCAACCTTGCAGATATCACACACTTACTCTCCTAGAGCCAATACTAGTAGGTAAAACACTTGACTTGCAAGCATTGATATTTTGTACAACTATAGCCAAATCCATTTTAAAAGGTTTTTGTTGATGCTGTATACCTAAATACATGTTTATTATTTAAAGATCTGTTATTTTTTTCACTTGTATTTCATGTGGTGTTTCTTCTACAAAAAAATATATATTGGGAAGAGAATGACATGTCTAGATAACTAACTAGACCACATCAATACAAAGCAATTGAAATACAAATCACTTTTGGGATAGACTTTCTCAGAAAGATTTTCCCACAGGGGACCACAGTACATGGCATTCTTCATTGTCTGGAGGCTCCTGCAATAATCATCTGATTTGGTAGTTTTTAAAGAATGTCAAGCAGTATTGAAAGTGAAAAGAAAAAGTGAAAGTCACTTAGTTGTGTCTGACTCTTTGTGACACCATGGACTGTACTGGAATTCTCCAGCTCAGAATACTGGAGTAGCTAGCCTTTCCCTTCTCCAGGGGATCTTTCCAACCCAGGGATCGAGCTGGGGTCTCCTGAAGGTGGATTCTTTACCAACTGAGCTACTGGGAAAGCCCACCAACCATGATTTGTAGACCATTAATACCTGGGAACAAGAACTTTAAAGGAAGTAATTATTGTTGTTTCTTCCTAGGTTGAACCAGTTCTGTTAGCTATCAGGAAAGAATTTTTTCCAAGTTTTATTTTTTTCCTCAGGTTATCCTGTTTGTAAACTTTTGGGGGGTCCACATACTTCTTCCTCTTAAGTTTTTGGGTTAATTTTAGGTACTAAAAATAATCATGTGTACTAATTTTTAATGGATTTTGAGTTGGTGCCAACTCAAATTAAGTGAATATATCTTATACTTTCTTTGTTATGCTATTGGCAAATATTTAATATCTGTAGGATCCTGTACTTAAGTATGTCAGTGTTTAAAATTTTTCCATTAATTTTATAGAACTTAGCTTGATATTTTATTTTTATTACATATTTAGCTCCTTTCAGAGAGACTTTTATAATTTGGCTGTAGATAGAGATGAAATTTATAATTTAGGAAGAAAATTAGGAAATAAAACTACTAATGGAATTATCTAATAAATTCTTCTTTTGTTATACTTTCACACTGACCTCTTTATCACTAACCTTAGTATAAATTTCGAATTTACTAGTAGAATTTTATTTGGCTAAAATTTGCATACCTATGTGAAGCTATTTTATATAATAAAAAGAGCTTACTAGTTTTAAAATTCATCTGGAAATGGTCTTTCTTAGTATATGTCAATTTCTAAAAGCATTGTGAACAGAAAATAAAAAACATTCTGTCATGAAATATGGATAGCTGGGTGAAAAAATTTCTCTATTAGCTAGACACCCAGAGCAGTGACAAATGAAATGATTATAATAGCCAATAATAACATCCATCTATTCAGTACTACATTTATTATTCCACCTAAATGTCATTATTGTTTAAAAATTAATCAAAAAAGAAAACAAAATTAAAAAATTAATCAAGAGGCATAAATTAAAGAAAAAGGGGTCTTTGAATCTATCACCTTATGAATAGCATGGCTCAGTTTTTGAAAGGTATTTATTTACTTCTATGCAAATATATATTAGTATATAATATTTACTTTCGCATTACAAGAATGATAAACTTTGAAGTGAATATGAAATTTATTTTTATGCTTGTTTTTTTCTTGCTTACCTATAAATGAAAATTTGTACTGTCCTAAATAATAGTTGAGGAACTTCTACTTGTGAAATTATTTTCCTTTGGCAAAGTGGATGGAAAAGATTTGGAAAAAAAAACACAAGTGCTGGCACAATTGACAGGAATGTTGGAAAAAATTTTTAAATGTTGGCATAGGAATTCTTTAAAAATTCTAACTTACTCACATGTGAAATGAAAGTAAAAAAGCATCTGTCCTATTTTATGCACACTGACTAAATAAAAAGAACAATTATATTTAGCAAAGTATAAAGCTCCTTAAACTAAGATATTCTGTCTGACTTTTGGCGATCTTTATGTTATTTGTTCCACTGAATTAAATATTATGTTTGAATGAAGCATACTTTGAAAAGCAGAAATTATAGAGAGGAGAACATTCTCTTTTCCAATTCTGATGGTCCTAGATGAAATATGAAATTTTTGAGAGACTAAACACTTTTAATGTACTTGAGAAGAGAATTTGGATCTTGGCCTCATCTGTCATTCAGCCCACTTGTTATTGAAATATTTCAAGAACCTTTGGACATGTGTTACCACACCATCTATTTGTTCTACCCGAGGTGGAAGTTAGGTTAGGTTAGGTCTTTAAGGATCACAACCAGTTTTTTTCCCATATTTTGTCTTTGATTCCACTACCAGATATGGTTATGTTTTCATTGAAAACAAACAAGAAGCTTAGAGCAGTATGAAATTGTTTTGATTCCTCCAGAAATTAGTTTAAATCAGTGTTTAAAGGCCAACCTGACATTTTAAAATTATTTTGTAAGATGCTTTTATTGTGTCTTAGTTCTGGAAAAAACTATTGGAGCTCTTATTCAAGTTTTAGTAAAGTTATTCTATTTTGCCATGATTATATATTGATAGAATATATTGTTTTTCATGCATCAATTATTAAAGTAAAGAACTCAATACATGGTTTCATGACTGAGATTGAAATAGTCCAAAGTGTACCTAATCTCCTTTGATCCTTTATGTTGAACAGTTCAGGCCGTGGTACTTGCCTTGATAATGAGCCTCCCAAGCGTGACTTTCTTTATCCAGCTGTGGCTCCAGGTCAGGTGTATGATGCCGATGAACAATGCCGTTTCCAGTATGGAGCAACATCTCGCCAATGTAAATATGGGGTAAGAAGTCCTAATCCTTCTGTTTAGTCATTTATGTTTTTTTTTAATGACACAATTGTTAAGATGGAATTTTGATGAATGTGATTTCTCTGGTATCAGTATTAACACAAGTATGGCCTTTGACATTGCTCCTTTTCTGAAATCATTTGTATAATATTTATTCTAAATGTTTGAATAATCCTTTAATTAAATAAATTTCAAATGTCTTGGGAGGGATGCAGATAGAATTTAAAAATTTTCCATTGTATTTCTTTTTTAGGTTCTGAGTTTATAATGCCAACTTTTGTCTTTAAAATGTTATGATTTTGAAACCTCCCCCACTTCCCACCTTTTCTGGTACTGTAATAACTGGGTTAAGGGCATTTTCACTTTGACTCAGAGTTTTCAACTTATACTTTTAGTATTGAGTCATTGCAAGTTGCCCACATTCTGACATAGTAACTGAGTGGGGAAAAAATGACATTAGGCTAAATAGAGAAACAAGAAAAATTGCTATCGGAAAATAATGGAGGTATCATGGTTTACTCTTCTCGTCTGTCTAAAAAAGTTTAAGGATCCACCACAGAAGATATTAAAAAATAATTCTTTTTAAATTTTCGTAGAGAAAGATTTCAGTGTCTAATATAGGGAGACGTTCATAGTAGATACACAATGTAAACATATTGAATGAATGTATAGGATTTTTAAATGATGAATTATATGTCAAAAAATTTTGAAAGTAACTTTAAAGGCTTTCTCCCAATTTTTTGTAAACAGTGTGTTTAAAATCCCTTTTAAGAAAATAATAACGATAAAAGGTAGTTAAGACTAAATGATACACACTTAGTACTCTACCAGTTATTCTTCTTGGGTGCAGTACAAAGGAAAGTGATTTTTTAAATATTCTTTGAGTGACAAGTAGACTATTATTCCTAGGAGGCTTTGGCAGCACATTTTGTGCATTAGATTTAAAGATTGTGTGCAACTATCTAAAGATATAGAGCCTTAAGTAAAGCTTTGTCTCTCTATAAAGAATCTTTACTTCTATTCTTGTTTCTGTATGGTTTTAGTTACTTTTTTCCCTTGGTTGCTTTTTCCCTCAGAAAAAGCCAAACTTTAATCACAATCTTTGTATATGCTTGTAGCTTCAGCTCAGTTCAGTTCAGTCGCTCAGTCATGTCCGACTCTTTGCGACCCCATGAATCGCAGCACACCAGGCCTCCCTGTCCATCACAAGCTCCCAGTATTTACTCAAACTCATGTCCATTGAGTCGGTGATGCCATTCAACCATCTCATCCTCTGTCATCCCCTTCTCCCACGTTCAATCTTTCTCAGCATCAGGGTCTTTTCAAACGAATCAGTTCTTCACATCAGGTGGCCAAAGTATTGGAGTTTCAGCTTCAGCATCAGTCCTTCCAGCAACTATTCAGGATTGACTTCCTTTAGGATGGACTTGTTGNATTCCATCACCTCCACTAGCTTTGTTCGTAGTGATGCTTTCTAAGGCCCACTTGACTTCACATTCCAGGAGGTCTGGCTCTACATGAGTGATCACACCATCGCGATCATCTGGGTCGTGAAGATCTTTTGTCAGTTCTTCTGTGTATTCTTGCCACCTCTTCTTAATATCTTCTGCTTCTGTTAGGTGCCTACCATTTCTGTCCTTTATTAAGCCCATCTTTGCATGAAATGTTCCCTTGGTATCTCTAATTTTCTTGAAGAGATCTCTAGTCTTTCCCATTCTATTGTTTTCCTCTATTTCTTTGCACTGATCACTGAGGAAGGCTTTCTTATCTCTCCTTGCTATTCTTTGGAACTCTGCATTCAAATGGGAATATCTTCCCTTTTCTCCTTTGCTTTTTACTTCTCTTCTTTTCACAGCTATTTGTAAGGGCTCCTCAGACAGCCATTTTGCTTTCTTGCATTTCTTTTTCTTAGGGATGGTCTTGATCCCTGTCTCCCGTACTATGTCCTGACCTCCGTCCATAGTTCATCAGGCACTCTATCAGATCTAGTCCCTTAAATCTATTTCTCACTTCTATTGTATAATCATAAGGGATTTGATTTAGGTCATACCTGAATGGCCTAGTGGTTTTCCCCACTTTCTTCAATTTCAGTCTGAATTAGGCAATAAGGAGTTCATGATCCGAGCCACAGTCAGCTCCCGGTCTTGTTTTTGCTGACTGTATAGAGCTTCTCCATCTTTGGCTGCAGAGAATATAATCAACCTGATTTTGGTATTGACCATCTGGTGATGTCCACATATAGAGTCTTCTCTTGTGTTGTTGGAAGAGAGTGTTTGCTATGACCAGTGCATTCTCTTGACTGAACTCTATTAGCCTTTGCCCTGCTTCTTTCTGTACTCCAAAGCCAAATTTGCCTGTTACTCCAGGTATTTATTGACTTCCTACTTCCACATTCCAGTCTCCTATAATGAAAAGGACATCTTTTTTGGATGTAAGTTCTAGAAGGTCTTGTAGGTCTTCATAGAACCATTCAAGTTCAGCTACTTTAGCAGTACTGGTGAGGGCATAGACTTGGATTACTGTGATATTGAATAGTTTGCAAACTTGGAAACGAACAGAGATCATTCTGTCGTTTTTGAGATTGCATCCAAGTATTGCAAATTCACACTCTTTTGTTGACCATGATGGCTAATCCATTCCTTCTAAGGGATTCTTGCCCACAGTAGTAGATATAATGGTCATCTGAGTTAAATTTACTCATTCCAGTCGATTTTAATTCGCTGATTCCTAGAATGTTGATGTTCACTCTTGCCATCTCCTGTTTGACTACTTCCAATTTGCCTTGATTCATGGAACTGACAGTCCAGGTTCCTAAGCAGTATTGCTCTTTACAGCATCAGACCTTGCTTCCATCACAAGTCACATCCACAACTGGGTGTTGTTTTTGCTTTGGCTCTGTCTCTTCATTCTTTCTGGAGTTATTTCTCCACTGATCTACAGTACCATATTGGGCACCTACAGGCCCGGAGAGTTCATATTTCAGTGTCCTATCTTTTGCCTTTTCATACTGTTCATGGGGTTCTCAAGGCAAGAATACTGAAGTGGTTTGCCATTCCTTTCTCCAGTGGACCACATTTTGTCAGAACTCTCCACCATGACCCTACATGACAAGGCTCATAGTTTCATCGAGTTAGACAAGGCTGTGGTCCATGTGATTAGATTTGTTAGTTTTCTGTGATTGTGATTTTCAGTTTCTCTGCCCTCTGATGGAGAAGGATAAGAGGTTTATGGAAGCTTCCTAATGGGAGAGACTGACTGAGGGGGAAACTGGGTCTTGTTCTCATGGGTGGGTACATGCTTAGTAAATCTTTATCCAATTTTCTGTTGATGGGTGGAGCTGAGTCAAGAGAAAGGATAGCCTCTTCAATAAAAGACTCTGGAAAAACTGGACAACCACATTCATAAGAATAAAACTGGACTGTTAGTTTACACCATATTGCAAAAATTAACTCAAAGTGGACTAAAGACTGAAGTGTAAGACTGGAAACTATAAAACTCCTAGAAGAAAATATAGGAGAAAAGCTTCTTGATCTTGGTCTTGGCAGTGGTTTCTTGATATGAAAAGCAGGCAACAAAAGTAACTATAGATGAGTGGGATTACATCAAAATAGAAAGCTCCACACAGCAAATCAGTCAACAAAATGAAAAGCCAGTTTATGGAATTTGCAGAAATTATTTGCAAACCATATATCTGATGAAGGGATAATGTCCATAGTATATAAGAAACTCTTACAGTTTTAGCAAAAAAAGCAAATAATCCAATTTAAAAATGGACAAAGGAACTTAATAGACATTTCTCAAAAGAAGACATACAAATGAACCATTATATGAAAAGGTATAAACCTCACTAATCATCAGGAAAATACAAATCGAAACAGCAATGAGATAACACCTTACACCTGTTAGGATGGTTATTATTTAAAAACTGATAATTAGTGTTGACAAAAATGTGTAAAAAAGAGAATTCTTACACACAGTTGGTGAAAATGTAAATTTGTGCAGCCACCATGGAAAACAATATGGAACTTTCTTAAAAAATTAAAAATAAAACTGCCATGTGATCTAGGAATCCTACCCCTGGGTATATATCCAGAGGTACTGAAATCAGGATCTTCAAGAAGGTATGTACTGTCATATTTATTGCAACATTATTCAAAATAGCTCAGACGTGGAAGCAACATAAATGTTCATTGACCACCAAGAGATTTTACTCAGCCACTTTTTACAGTGAACATCAGCTAACTTGTTCTTGAAGACTTCAAAAAGCTAACGAGTCTGACAAGCATACTTTTCATTTACCTTTCACATGGTAGACGTTCAATACCTATTTCCCTATCCTCTGTGAATATCTATGTCATCCATGATGCCATCCTATATAACTAGTATGCTAGTAGTGCTTTAGGAGAATCTGAGCCGTCTGTACTTTGGGGGGTATGTTAACATACTCTAAGGGTCACATTTTGACTAAATTTCATCCTTCGATCTCAGCTCACATGCAGTTTCTCTGCAGGCTGGCCTTCAGTCTGATCCATCTATATGAAAAGTCTTCTCCCAGTTACTTACATTTATGCTCCCAGTTAAAGCATAAAGGAAATTATGCTTTTTATTTTCTTCACAGCACTTACTAGTCCATATTCATTTTACTTATTTGATTACTTGTTAGCTAGTTAAATGTGATCTTCTAAGTAAGGCCTGCCCTACCGACCTTATCTGAAACTGCACACAGACACACACACATACACAAACACACTTCATGTAATTTTTTCTGAGTTTTTTTTCTTCCTTATTATTTGTTACTGATACTTTCTAACATACTGTATATTTTGCTCATTTTGCTGCTGCCTGCCTATTTGCTCATGGCTGTTTATAAAGTGAATTACACAGTGTCTGCCTTATAATAGGAGCTCGGAAAATATTTGGTGGATAAATGTGTGACAGTATGGAATGAAGCAGGGCAAAGGCTAATAGAGTTTTGCCAAGAGAACGCACTGGTC